CTGTTAATAGGCGCTTAGTAAATAGCGACTATATTGCTTAGCATTTTGTATCCTTCACCCTACTGGAGAAGTTAGGCAATCGCACAGCAGTTTTTATGAAATTCTCATTCCCAGAGAAGACAGCTCATCTTTAACAATACAACTCTATTTATGCAGCAGCACTGCAGAGTGTGCAAAGACTCTCACTCACTTCACGTCATGTATTCGAAGCCATCACAAGCACTGCTCAGCCAGCCTTTTGGCTAAGAGCAAGTGTAGAAGCTGTCAGAAGATTTTGTTTTTATTATTCTCATAATTTCAGAAACTTTATAGTCATCTCAAATTATCCTTGTTAAATGCTGACAAAACAAAATACAAACAACACGATGTGCCAAATGACAGAGGCTCTTATTTGTGCTGCTCTTTCTGCTCTTCAGTGCTGGGCTGGAGATGGGGCCCAGTGCGCTAGGCAAGAATTGCATCACTAAGCCACGGCCCCACACCCTCCTTGCTCTTAATGGTTCCTTCTACATACTTGCCTTGAACTCTTGCAGACAAGTATTAATTTACAACTTCACAAGTAAAGTTTTATTTGTTTGTTTGTTTTGGGTTTTGGTTTCTTGAGACAGGGTTTTTCTGTGTAGCCCTGGAACTCAGTCTGTAGACCAAGCTGATTTCAAACTCAGAGATCCGCCTCTGCTTCCCCATGCTGGGATTAAAGGTATGTGCCATTCATACCCAGCTGAAAATAAAAGGTTTTGTTTATTTGTTTGTTTGTGTTTTAAGACTGGGTTTCTCTTTTAAGCTTTTTGGAGCCTGTCCTGGAATTCGCTCTGTAGACCAGGCTGGCCTCGAACTTACAGAGATCCACCTGCCTGCTGAGTGCTGGGATTAAAGGTGTGCGCCACCACTGCCCAGCTTGAAAATAAAATATTTTTAATAACACCCCAAATCAGTAATTTAACAAATACTATTTCTGCAAATATTGAATAGTATTAACAACTTGTAACATTTTCTAACGAGGAATGTATAAGTGGTTCTCATCTCTCTAGGAGTTTTAATGACTATTGCTTAGAACTCCAAGTATATTTTCCAATTTAAAAACTTCCATGTTATATTCACCTGTTCCTGCAGGTTAAGGAATATAGCGCTCAAGCCACCGCGTCTAATAGTTCCCTAAGAATATGCCTCCAAAACTCCAAATTGGAAAGATAAGGGTACGTGTCTACACTTTCCTGCACAGTCTAAAATTTAACCCCCAAGAAGCTTTTTTAAAGGTTTATTTATTTCAATATGTATGAATATTTTGCCTGCATGTATGTGTATGTACCATATGCATGCTTGGTGCCTGTGGAGGTCAGAAGAGGGTGTTGGATTCTCTGGAAATGGAGTTACAAATGTTTGTGAATCACCATGTGGGTTCTAGGAATTGAACCTAAGTACCCTTCAAGAGCAGCCAATGCTCTTAACTGCTGAGACCTGTCTCCAGACACGCAAGAAGCTTTTGAGTCTTTAGTGTTTTAAGTAAAGGAAAGTATGCTGTAGTATTATACTCTTATACACTGTAAAGATTTGTCACTTTTTTTTTTCCCTTCGGTTTTTCGATATAGGGTTTCGCTGTAGCTTTAGAGCCTGTCCTGGAACTATCTCCTATAGACCAGGCTGACCTGGAACTCACAGAGATCCACTTGTCTCTGCCTTCCAAGTGCTGGGATTAAAGGCATGTGCCACAGCTGCCCAGCAAGATTTGTCACTTGTATTGGTTTAATAAAATGCTGATTGGCAAGTAGCCAGGCAGGAAGTATAAACAGGGTGACCAGACTAGAAGAATTCTGGGAAGAGGAAAGGCAGAGGCGCAGTCACCAGCCAGATGCAGAGAAAACAAGATGAGAATGCCTTACTGAGAAAAGGTACCAAACCATATGGCTAAACATAGACAAGAATTATGGGTTAATTTAAGTTGTAAGAGCTAGTTAATAATAAGCCTGAGCTAAGAGGCCAAACAGTTTATAATTAATATAAGTGTCTGTGTGTTTCCCTGGGACTGAATGGATGCAGAACTGGGCAGAAAAGAAATTTCCATCTACAAAAGTATTTAGCCTGGCAGTGGTGGTGCATGCCTTTAGTCCCAGCACTTGGGCGGTAGAGGCAGGCAGATCTCTGTGAGTTGAAGGCCAGCCTGGCCTATATAGTGAGTTCCAGGGCAGACAGTACTATATAGAGAGATAGATACAGTCTCAATATGTGTGTGTGTGTGTGTGTGTATGTGTGTGTGTGTGTATGAAGACAGAGAATCTGTGTCTGTCTATCTACTTACACATATGCATACATAGAATGCAGCTATAATAACTTAGCTAGAAATGCCTTGTTTATTAAAATAAATTAATACATTCAATGGATGAGTAAGAATAAATTCTTTCATATTTATTAATAAAGTCAGAATATAATCTAGTTGTTAAAGGTAACTATTGCTAAAGAGTAAATAAATCATATCTTTAAAAGAAAAAATATTGGATTAAATTCATCAGTAACAAAAAAACCTACTTTTCTAGTGTATTTAAGATTGATAACTTATGAACATAAATTTAGCCATCATCTACTTTTTTTTTTTTTTTGGCTTTTTTGATACAGGGTTTCTCTGTGTAACAGTCCTGGTTGTCCTGGAACTAACTCTTGTGACCAGGCTGGCCTCAAACTCACAGAGATCCACCTGTCTCTGCCTCCCAAGTGCTGGAATTAAAGGTGTGCGTCACCACCACCCAGTGCCATCTTCTACTTTTAAAGACTGCACTTTTTTTTCAAAGAAGTAGTTGCAAATCAGGAAAAATATTAGAGTCTAATCATTTTCTATATAAAACTAAATTTTAAAAATTTCTAAGGGGCAAAAATGGTATTCTGGTTTCTCTTCAGACCATATAAATCTTTCAGCTTTTACTAATAGGCAAAACAATTAAAACATTAAGTCATATTTACTCTCCTTTTCATTCTCAGCTCTATCACCAGAGGAGTAGTAGCTCTAAACATCCACATTGGATTCCACTTGGTCAATTGGTTAAAGTAGAGCAATACCTTTGATATTTATATCAGGCAAAATGCAACGAGTCAGCAGAAGATCCAGACATTTCCCAGTTAACAGTCAGAGAACAGTATCACAAACACACCAGTCACCACATTTACACTTTTAAATGTCAACTTATTTAATTCCTTTTCTAGCTTATATTCCTTTTTCTTATTTTGCTAAGTTTTCCTTGGGAGAATGGCCTAGAAAACGCCTTTCAGAGATTTTCTCGATCTGCAAAATTGACAAAAATCAACGCTCCTAGAGTCTTAATTCATGAAGGAGAGAAATGTCCCCTTCCTTCTCTGCCTGGTCTTTTCTGAAAGCGTTGACCCTTGTCTTGTGTCTACTGCCTTACTGTGCAGGCTTGTCCAACCCATGGCCACAGACCACACACAGCCAAGGCTAACTAGGAATAGTACCCACACAAAATTATAAACTTACTTAAAACATTGAGAATTTTTCTAATTGTTTGTATGTAAATTGAGGGTGTGGTTATTGAGGGTGAGTTTTATCTCAATGTCAAAACACTGAACTACACATGAGGAAACACACCACTGCTACAGCGTGTCTATAAAATAAGATATAATTTGAATGAAATAATTCTATCCTGCAAAAAGTTATTTGAAAATACTAAAATTGTTTCCAAGAGGCAAAAGCAATGGTAACTACTGGAAGGATTGCCTGCTGTCTTGGGATCTACCAGCCTGTCCTCACTGTCCTTGGCTGGAGTCACAGCTACACAGTCAGTTTGCCTATTACTCCTCAGTTCTTAAGTCGGCTGTGGTGAATGGTGCAGGGCTCTACTCTTCATCACACTTTAAGAATTCAATTTTCAGACTATGTGTTCTTTTTCCTTTTTGGTTTTTTTGAGACAGAGTTTCTTTGTGTAACAGTCCTGGCTGTCCTGGCCTCGAACTCACAGAGATTCGCCTGTCTCTGCCTCCCGAGTGCTGGGATTAAAGGTATGCGCCACCACTACCCAGCTAAGAGTATGTGTTCTTATTAAACTTCATTACTGAAATACTAAAATGATTTAATTATGAGGTAATCTCAGTTGTGAAATAAAAAACATATCTTAAAGACAAACTTAATGAAACATGACAACAATGGAAGGAAGGAAGTAAGGTTCCAGGGCATTGAATCTCTATGTGTTTGGTATGTCTTGGTGTTTTATCTGTATGTGTCGGATTCCCTGGAACTGGAGTTCCAGACAGTTGTGAGCTCTCATGTGGGTGCTGGGAATTGAACCTGAGTCCTCTAGAAAAGCAATCAGTGTTTTTAACCTCTGAGCTATCTCTCCAGCCTCCCAGGGCACTGAATCTTAATCTCAGAATTAGAATACACTTTGTGAATATAGAATTTTCATTTTACTGAAAATATACACTTTTATGTGGTAACAGATTCTCAAAATCCTTAAGAACAGATGAAACTTTATATACGTACCATATATGTAACATTTATTTCATTAATTAGGAGCATGTAGGGGTGAGATATGTACGTGAGTGCAGGTGCTAGTGAAGCCAGAGGCACTGGACCCCTGAGCTGAAGTTAAGACAGTTGTGAGCCTCCTGACACATGAGCCAGGGTTCTCTGCAAGAACAGTATACTCTCTTAACCACTGGACCAGCTCTCCAGTCCCTAAGCATTTTATATTGTTTAAAAATATGCCTGGTTAAGAAGTCATAGCCGGGCGGTGGTGGCGCATGCCTTTAATCCCAGCACTTGGGAGGCAGAGGCAGGCGGATCTCTGTGAGTTCGAGACCAGCCTAGTTCCAGGACAGGCTCCAAAACCACAGAGAAACCCTGTCTCGAAAAAGCAAAAATAAATAAACAAGCAGTCATAACATTTTTAAAATGCATATTCCTATTTGTTAAGCACACAAAGACTGAAATATTACAAAAATATAAATGTTCTTATAAGCTACCTTTATAGAAGCCAGTGAACTTGAATGTTTCCTACCTGTCGGGTAGTAGGCTTGGGAGTACTGCGCCGAGGGTGTGTAGTTACTGTATTTTTGGGAGGAGCTGACCATTGTTTGAGGACCTTGTTGAACATGTACAGATGTGGCGCTGGGCTGCAGCGTGTAAGTAACCTCAGTTGGAAATCTCTGCAGTACAGGAAATGGAACCCCTTTATCTGAAAAAGTGGGAGATGTCTCCACTTGTCCAGGGTGCATTCCAAGGGAGTTCTGCCATGTTCTAGGAGGAATCGGGGTTCGATCTAAACCTTTCAGAGGGAACGTGCTGTGGTTGTGGGATGAAGTTGATACGTAGGAATAAGGAGACAAATTATCTCGCCGGAATGACCGGTGAAATTGTCCTACAGCCACTGGTCCTGCATAAAAGAGGAAGAACACATTTACAAACTTTACAATACACTCTCAGACAGTAAACCAAAGGTCAAAAATATGCAGCTGCTCACCTATCAGCTATTTTTAAACACAATAGAACTTTAAATTTAGCAAAAAGAAATTCAGAATACAGTGCTGAAAGAATAACCAACTCTTGATGATTCTCAACATGACTGACATAAAAGTTAAAGTGGCCAACCTCTAATGTTTAAATTAAATCAAAACTATAAGTTTTCTTTCAAGACCTTTAGGAGCTTTAATAAGTAGGAAAGTATCACTCTACTATACACATAAAAGAAATGTTCAGAATAAATAAGAATTCATAACATGAGCCACACTTTTATATTTCTTTATTGCAAGATTAACTATTTACTTATTGTTTGGGCATGCCTGCCACAGCATGTGTGTGGCTGTCAGGACAATTTTCAGGAATTGATTCTCCCCTCTACCAAGTGGGTTATGGGAGATCCAATTCATCAAGTATCTTTACTCACTGAGCCAGCGCACTGGTCCCTCGATTTATTCATTTTATATTTAAGTAGTAAATTGTTGAAGAGAGTCTTGTTATGTTGTTCTAACCTGGGCTGATTACTCACTACATAGCCCAAGTTTAAGCGATTTTCCTGCCTCAGCCAACTGACTGGTAGGATCAAGGCATGTGCCACCACACTCCGCTTACCAATGCCAACAAAAATCAGGCTTGAAAACTTTCACCTAGGTTTTTTCATCTTTTCAAGTAAGCAATCATCTTTCCTGAGGTTTTCTTTCTTTTCAGGCCTGGGATCAAAGCTTTTGCATATGACTTCCATATGCTAGGCAAGCACTTGACCCACTGAGCTAGAGTGCAAGCCCTGCATTTTTCTTTTTCCTTAGTCTCCAACAGAGACCTTTCCAGTGGCCTTCACACCCTTACTGGCACGTGTGCCATAGGAAGCACTGATTAAAACTTCAGGCATCTAATCTCAGAGACTCCAACATGAGCATCTGTTTTCCCTAATCTAACTAGGTAGAAAGAAAATTGAGAGGAAAAGGACAAAAGTTTGTAGTAAGAAGATGATAGCCATAAATACTATAGCTTGGATTTATAGATTGGAATTCTTGAATATAAAAAACTAATTTATTCAGAAGGAGACTATTACCTATTGACTATATACATGGTTCACGATTTCCTTCCAACATGCTTCCTTAAACTAATCTTAATAAGCAATCTACTTTATTGAGCTAATCTTTATTAAAGAGAGACAAAACTTAATTTATGTGTGACTTCAGTGCTAAGTTACATGTTGAAAGATGTTAGTCAAATATCTACCCATTCAAATAAATTATAAACCATTCAACACATCTCCCATTCTATTTCCATGGCAACTAATTTCCTTAGCAAATAAAGCATTAACACCAAGAGTAAACAAATAAATGCATGAATACTAACAACACAAATTCTGGAACCTAAGAAATCAAGCACACTATCTAATAAAGAATAAAAAAAAAAATCCTGGTTTAGAAGACGGAAAGTGTTCAAGTGACAATTCTGGTTTCCCCAGGAAATCGGTGCTTTTCACAACAGGTGTTTCTGAGCATCCCAACTACCCCTTCTCCTACTTGCTTTCTCCTTGGAGGTTTCACATGCCAAAACTATGTTACCCACAGTTCATTAAACCTTCTGGACTTTTCAGGGATAGGCTGTTCAGTCTCTAGTTAGGTTCCAAAAATGTAGTTTAAATCTGAATTTAAAAATAAATTCTGGCCAGGAGGCGATGGCACACACCTTTAATCCCCAGAGGGCATGCCGAATTCTGTGAGTTGGAGGCCAGCCTAGCCTACAGAGCTAGTTCCAGAACAGTCAAAGCTATAGAAAAACCCTGCCTTGAAAGAAAAAAAAAGAGGTTCTGCTTCCCTGCTGATAAACTCTGAGTGTTGGGTAATTACCTATTTTAGATGCTGGTAATATAACAATATTGTCAGGGTTAGGTCATTCCTCACTATTGAGTTGTTGATGGGTTCCGGGGAAAGGAGAGTCAGTTTTCTTTAAGGGTGTGTGACCCCAATGGGTCAATAACACTCCAGTGGATGGCCCCACACCCTGAGTGAGTCCATGAGCAGTAGGAACTAGACTCAGTTAAAAATATGGAAGAGGGGCCATGAAGCTGGCAGGGCTGAATTTGGAAAGAGTTAGAGGGAGGAGTGAGGGATGCATATGATCAAAATACAAAACGATGAAAAAAATCTAAGTATTAATAAAAATAGCCTCCAAAACTGTGAGGGGGGAGTCATTACTTCAACTTGTTTCTTAAAGAATGGAAACACGGTTAGTTCATTTTTATTCTTTTAAAAACAATTAGCTAATAGGGCTCTCTCTAATCAAGTCATCATAAGTCATCGTATTTGTGTCTTCAGAACATCTTCAAGGTATATTTGAATTCAGAATTCTGAAAATGTGGGGCACAATGGATTTTTGACTTTCAAGATTCTATTCCTTTTATGGAAATGAAACCAAACTAGCCATTTCCATTAAAGAATCCCAAAATCTGCCAAGTGGAGAGCTTGTTGTGTTCACACAAGAGCATCTACTTCCCAGACTTTAAACTCCATTTGACCAGTAGTACATATTATAAATCGCCAGTGAAAATAACATAAATGGACTAGAGAAAAAACACAATCTCCACACTTTTTATCACGTATATTCTTGACTTAGTGGATCTAAATTAGAAGACTAGGCCCTTAAGTAGACCATTCTACAATTAAGGAAGATTTGGAAAGCAGGAAGCAGCAGCCATATAACTGGGACAAGTTCAAGTAGAATAAAAACTAGTGTGAAAAGCCTAGCAGGGGGGGCACACGCCTGTAATCCCAGCTTTTGGGAGGCCGAGTCAGGAGGACTGCAAAGTCAGGCCCCACCTAGACTATATACCAAGACCTTGTGTTCGAAAATTAAAATGGAAAAAAAAAGGGTGAGAAAAAATAGAAGTGCCAAGAACCTTGGCACATAGAAGGAAACAAATTTGCGACAGCATTCTTGGAACAACAAAAGAATTACATTCCACGGCAGCCAATAACACAATTGCCTGCTGCACTAAGTATAGGCAATGGCTAGCATCCTTTTGTACACAACAGCAGGAAGAAATAGGAGATACCTGAAAACACATTCACATACTGCCACGCTGAAAAAGCATGAGTTTTTCAACAAATAATCTTTAAAATGCTTAAACAAATTCGCCACTGGCCTTATGAATAAAACTAGGACAATAAAACAACACAAAAGGGCTCACTTGATAAAAGTAAAAGAGAACAGACTCATAACAATCTGTCCTTTGACCCTACACACATGCCAGACATCAAGAGCATACATGTGCATGGATACACAAGTAAATATGTGCAATTTTAAACAACAACTAAAAGAATACAGCTGGTTTAAGATAGACGAGGGGAAAAGATTAAAGAGAATTTGTCCTGAGATGGTTATTTCCCTGTCTTCTTCCCTTAAGCCCTCTAGAAATAGACTTAAAAAACAACACAAAATGAACAACAACTCCAGCTGGAGTTCCCGAGAAACATATTCCCTAGAACTGTCTCTGCTGTCCTTCTCCCCAGCTGAATCAAGGCTCACCACACGGAGGCAGCTCACTTTTCCTTTAGAATTCCTTTAGAACATTCCCATGCCACTGTTACTTTCTCAGCTTGTCACTAGAACTCTAAACTAGTTCCTCATCTTCTAAACTCCACAGACAGAAAACCTAAGCTCTTCTCTTCCGAATTCCAAATGCAGAATTGCTTCAGTACTGGGCCTAGTTGAAAGGAACCATAGTGTTACTTGTACATTTAAATTGTCCCATGCTTCAAAAATATCCCAGACTTCTTTATGTTTAACCATGCTAACTGTCTGAAAATGGTTCTATTACTCTTCTATCTGAAGGTGAGAAAAAAAAAAAGAATCCCAAATCCCCATTAGTGTATCCTGTTGCTTCCTTGGTGCAACTAAATATTCAGTCCCTCCCATTCTGAATAACCAGGAGTAATGAAAAATCAATAAACTATGATTGTGTGCTTTCTAAAGTTCTTTTAAACTAAGCTTGACATCTAGCTTTTGGGTTTTTTTTTTTTTTTTGTCCTTTTTTTTGTTTGTTTGTTTGTTTTCGAGACAGGGTTTCTCCGTAGCTTTTGGTTCCTGCCCTGGAACTATCTCTTGTAGACCAGGCTGGCCTCGAACTCACAGACATCCGCCTGCCTCTGCCTCCCGAGTGCTGGGATTAAAGGCGTGCGCCACCACCGCCCGGCCGTTTTGTTTTAACTACTTTGCTTTATGTTTGCCCACATCTCAAGTAAGGCATCAAGCTCTAAGGAAACTAGGATGGAAGTATTAGTGAACTGTTTCTACATTGCAGAAGAGCTTACCCCTTAGATATATAAACAGTGTCTACCACTCTCTATATTTCTTGGAGCTTTCAATGTGACTGTTCTCATTGATACCTCAATGAGATGCGTCAATAGGTGAAAGGTGGCATGTTGCTTCAAGAACAAATTTCCACGCGCAGAACCTGTTCCCCTTTCCCTTGGTTGGGTTAATGCCTCAAGCTTTCTTGGCGGTGACTTTGTCCCTTCACACTGGAACCTGTTGAGTGCCTGTTCTTTTGATGGCCAGACAATGGGTGGCCCTTCCCACCCGGTGCGTCAATAATCGACGGCTTATTCTAGACGATCACAGTGGAGAGACTAGGCAGAAGTAAATGGAAGTAGGTTAACTCTTGGGATTCACTCTCTTGGAGAGGACTGGAAAGCAAGCCTAAAGCCTGTGTCCTTTTGGTAGCCAGACACAGACCAGGGGATGCTTATGGCCTCTTGCCAGAGGAAATGCAGGTGCTAGTGAGGATGATGCAAGTGATGTGACCTAGTCCTGGGGCTGTGCAAAAACGGTGCTCGCCCCCGTGCATGACGTAGAGCGAGGATCCAGGTGCCACAAACTTACCATGCTGCTCTGGCCGGGGCCCTGCGGGCTGGGGCGGCGGGTCCTGATGCTGCAGCGGGGAGGTGGAAGCGGAGGCGGAGGCAGAGGCTGAGGTGATGAGGAGCCGCTGGAAGCGGTTGGGCGGGCGACAGGGCACCTCCAGTCCGGCCGCCAGCTTGGCCTTGTTGGCGCTAGTGAGCCTCTTGAGGTGAACGAGCAGCTGAGGCTGGTCGCGACGGAAGTGCGGGCTGTGGAAGTGGTGGAGTGGCCCGTCGCCCGCCGGCCCGCCAGCCCCAGGCCCTGGCCCGGGCCCCGCTGCCCCCGGCCCACCCAGCACCACCTTGCGGAAGCCGTAGAGGTTGAGCTGGCGGATGAAGCTGGTGAAGTTGGTGGTTTTGAAGAGCTCGGGCTCGGCCCCGGCTGCCCCGACGCCGCTGCCGCCGCCCCCGCTGCTGCTCCCGGCTCCCCCCGCGCCCCCGGCCCCCGGGCCCGGCGGGCTAAGCAGCTCGGCCTCGAAGAGCGGCTGGTCGATGAGCAGGCCCTCGCCGCGGCCGTCCCAGCGGATGGAGCGGTACCGAGGGCTGTTCACCAGCCGCCACAGCTTGGCGGGGAAGTTGTTGGGGTTGATGGGGGTGGACAGCAGCGCCTCCTCCATCGCCCGCCCGGGCCCTGGGCCTCGCCCCGCCGAGCCTGGCTCTCCCACCGTTCTCGATCCCCCGGGCCTTCGCTGCGCCCTGCCCCCTCCTGCCAGCGCCCGGCCGCCGAGGCCCGAACCGTTGGCGCACGAGTCCCCGCACGCCCTTCGTCGCGGCCAATGGGGCCTCGAGTTCCCGCCGCGTGGTGGCCGAGGGGGCGCGAGCCCCGCCCTCCCCCTCAGCGGGACGCAGGCCTGGCCGAGGTGCTGGCAGGCCACTGGGGTCACCTTCGCTGGCCTTCCTGAAGCGGCCCCTCTCTGTAGGGTCCCCGGAAGGCAGCACACCTGGGAATTGTGGTTCCTGAGGAGAAAGAGGCCAAGTTTACCTCAGCAAGATGACAGGGGGCTTCAGCAGGGCAGGGTGGCCCCGGGGGATTCAGAACGCGAGTGCGCATAGATGATACAGCCGAGTGGTTCCTGAGAACAGGGGACACACTCCACAGTCTTTCCTAACAGTCGAATTGCTACTCTCTCCAAATAAAAATGATGGGGAAAGGTTTAGGTACAGTAACCAGAGAACGTGAATTCATTTTATAATACAGTAGCATTGTTATATCTTAAAAAAAAATCAGCTCAAGAAAACTTGACTTCAAATTAGATGAGACCCACGGTACCTGGCAATAGGGAATAAAGACAGAACAAATTTTTGTGCTTGCTGACAAGCTGTGATCTCCCAGAGAAGAAAGAAATGACCTTCACTTGAAAGGGGACAGTCAACTAACCCAAATACTGAAGGGACTCCGAGGAGTAGTGCAGTTTGATTTTGCCCTTAGAGCCCAGTCTGGCCTCAGACTTGCAGTCATCCTCCTGCCTTCAGCCCGACTCAGCGCCCAACAGTCAAAGCACTGAATTTTCTTAGGAATTCGAGTGAAGGGCTAGGCCTCTAGTCCAGTACTGCTTTATCCATGAAGCCACAGGTTCCATCCCAGTACCAATGAACTAAAACAATTGAGAGAGCCAACAAAGCAGCACTAATATAGAGATTTTATTTAAACTGTATTGAGTTTTTACAGCACATTGCATGTTTGTCACAACGCAACTGCACAGTTTGGATTTTTGGCCACATCATGTCACTTACACCCACAACAGCTCTGAAAGGATGAACACATCTGAGCCAGAAGCCCAGAGTCTTTCTCTAAGGCCATGCAATTTGTTCACTGATGGGACAGTCCCTCAAAACAGTCACACAAAGTAGATAGATACAGTCTCCCAGAATTTTACTGATCCCCCTGAAAACAGAGTGAAGTGCAATGAAAATCGGTAACTAAAAAGCCACGTGACTGGCAGTCAATTTTAATGATTGAGAAAATGTTGAAAATATTTTTATGTATCAGAGATAAATAATTTGTTGCTCTTTCATTGATCTTAGGAATTTCTCAAGACACAAAATCTCCATTATTCAGATCCATTTAAATGAAAAAAAAATCTGCTAGGCTGACCTAAATATGCCAAAATTTTTTAGGTTACTCCATGGCACTTATACAAGGAACACAGATGCTTTGCTGCAGAACTGAGGAAGAGGTCAGGACGGTAATTCCCATTGTAAATGTAGGTTCTGGTTAGTTTGGAATGAAAAAAAAAATATGTTTTCTAGAAAGCAACAAGACAGTAGCAGCGAGAAAGACAACTGCTGTCGCTTTAACAGAGTAAGCAATTTCTGCTTCCTACAAGAACAAAGTAAGGAAAACAGAGATAGGAAGTCCTCATGCTCTCGCTGTGCGCCAAGGAGACTGTATCTGCCCCAACCAAGCACATGGCTACAGTACTGTATCTTTTGGTTAAGTGCCACTGGCACATGGTAAGATGAAAAACAAAATCAAAATCAAACACGACAAAATGTTTGGTCCGAATGGACACATCATCACTCCCAATTTTGGTATCAAGGCTTTCTTCTTTCTGTTTGGGTTCCATTGTTAAGTGCACAGAAATAGACAGCAGCATTTGTACTGAAACCCTCACATACCAAATAGCAGATGCTAGGAGGTAAAACCAGATGCTATATTCTACCCTCAAGGTGTCAAGTGTTCAGGATAAGAAGCAGTGTGACCCAGAGGAGGCAGCAGCCAAGGGAAAGACCACATGGGGGAGTGGGCAGTGGAACAACAAATCCTTTGCTTTATTTGCATGCCAGGGGAGGACCAAGGTGTAGCTCCCGTGTTAGCACCAGGACAACTGGGAAAAGTCAGGTGCAAAGGGTAGGGCACAATCAGCAGAATTTCACAAGGATAATTTTGCTTTTCCCTTCTCTTTCTTCAGTGCACACACACCTCAAGAGCAGCCACTGCAGAACAGAGTGACAACTGCCTTCACAGCTCAGAATAACTGGTTTTCGCCAAGACTAAACGTCACCAGAGTTTTCCTCTGTTTCCAAAAATGTCTTAATCCTTAGAACTGTCCCTCTAAAAACTGGATATTCGCTGACGCTGGCCACCGAGCCAGGTGAAAAATACATCAATGCCTCCATTTGCCGAACCAGTCTTTGAACCAAACGCCACAGAGGACAACTAATGCAACTAGAGGGAGCGCCTCTAAGAGACTGAGCCTTCATGCACAGACACAGGGCACAGAGGTACAGAATAGAGTTCTTCTCAAATAGGATGGAAATTCCTATCTTGTATACTATGATCTGCTCTTTTCAAGGTGGAGGAGAGATGGGTCTCATTATCAATTGGAGTTTGGTTGTAAGGATGCCTTTCTATTGCTGTTTGGGCACTTTGCACCAGGCAGTATTTATGAAATCATCATCTTGTGACCTCCAGGAGAGAAGCTGGAGTCACCAACTCAGCGTGAAGCTTCCAGACCTTGGTCTGGATCAGGACCATTACCCCAAAGTGAGGGTCTCTTCAGTAGAAAATCTCCTGCCAAACTCAAATTCCTCTGCTCCAGTCACATGGTACCAAGAAGGATTTCTCAAGACGGTATCATTGAGCTCTGTGTTCATGAGCCATACCAAAGAACCTTCCAGACTACACCTGAAGCAGATCCTCCCTTCAAACCTGCTAAAAACAGACAGATCATCTCCTCTGGCATTCAGCTGGAAGCCGTAGCAATGGGTTTCTTCAGGTGTTGGCTCATGAGTTCCCTGGCACGAGATACTTGAATGTGTTCATAACATGAGTTACAGACGAGAACTGGGTCATAGAGTTGCTGATCAGGAATGGGCAGCTTAAGGTGGCAGCATCCAGCACAAAACACGTTCCCACAATTTCTGCCAAAGTACAAACAGGGAGAAACTAATGAGAAATATCAGTGTCCTGAGAATGAATGCTGATCTAAAAGGGTTTCCAGAAATAAATAAAAAGCTTAGGCGTAAACAAAAATACTATTACGATATCTCCAATTTCAGTTAATTTTGTTCTACACATAGAACCCGGCAGTGAAATGCAAAAACCAAACAAAACTTACCTGCAATGATGTCTTCGTTTGGCCAACCAGAATTCACAGTCACAGTTATAGCAGTGGGAGGCCATATGGTCTGGAACCCAGCGAGTCACCTACCAGGAGGCACAAGGGACAATTGCAGGTCCATGTCCAAAAAGGAGAACAACATTGCAATCAGGAAAGTAGCCCAGGAAAAAAGTGATTATGATGGCCTGTAGCTTTGGAGCCTGTCCTGGAACTAGCTCTTTTTTTTCTCTTTTTTGGTTTTTCGAGACAAGGTTTCTCTGTGTTGCTTTGAATCCTATCCTGGAACTTGCTCTTGTAGACCAGGCTGGCCTCAAACTCACAGAGATCCACCTGCCTCTGCCTCCCGAGTGCTGGGATTAAAGGCGTGCGCCACTGCTGCCCCACGACCAAGATGATCTTTATGACTGGCCATTACTGGCCTACAAGGATATTTATTGGGGGCAGGGACTGTTCCAGACCACAGTGCATCCTCATCTCTGAGAAAGGAAGCTCGCTGCTGCACATACCTCAGTCTCCTTCTTATCGACGGGCTCCCAGCTGGCTTCTGAAAGGCAGTCTTCACTGTGCTCAGAGCCGAAGTCTTCAGTGTCACTGCTGTCGGACTCCTTTAAACACGTCTGCAGCAAAGGCAAAGACAGCACCATCACTTCTGCAGCACTAGCACTACCGTTATCAGGCCCTGTTCTAAGTATTCCATGCAAAACCTTATTTAATTCCTCACAATAATCGTGAATTTTATTAGTATTATCCTCACAGTACAAAATAAAGAAACTAAGGCACAGAGAACTAGAGTTGGTAAGTGGTGAAGCTGATGTTTGATCCCAGCATTCTGGCTCAGAACTATCATGTTAACCAGTATGTGGTACAGCACAGGAAGACTATATTTCTTGCTATACCCTAAGCTAAGTGTTGCCAAACCAGAACCAGTCTATCCTGTTTTCATAAATCAAGTTTTACTGGAACATAGCCATATTCACTCATTTACATATAACCTATGGCTGCTTCTGTGTTACCATGGTCATAATAATAGTCTCAGAGACTGTTGGCCCCACACAACCTAAAAACATTTACCGACGGGCCATTACAAATAGAACTTGGCTGAGAATTTAAAGCACAACCCTCAACTGTTAGACCTATCTGTTCTATCAGCAGACAACTGGGGACACTTTTACTGATGGAAGGGGAACATCCATGCAGACAACAAGGGCAAGACAGCTTCAGGAAGCTCCCTGAGGACTGCAACGTCAGAATCTAAGACAGCGAGGGCAGTAAAGCCTGGGTGGCTCTCCTTATGTCTGACCTGGATTGTTTTCAGAAGTCTCAACTAAGACAGGAACAGTGACACACACCTTTAATTCCAGCACTTGGGAGACAGAGGCAGGAGGATCTCAGTGAGATCGAGACCAGCCTGGTCTACAAAGCGAGTTCCAGGACAGCCAGAGCTACATAGAGGAACCCTGTCTCATATAAATAAAAAAATAAAATAAAATGCCCAAACCAGCCTCCCACTCTGGGTCTCACTTGCCTCATCAAAAGGTACTCAAGTGGATCCT